CGTCTCGCGTCGTGCGACGAGTGGCGTGGCGGTCGTACGGCGGCGGCGAGGCGGTGGTCGGCCGCCGCCCTCCGTCTGTGGAGGCGGACTCGTCTCGCGGCCGCCGAGACCCTGGGGTCCCCAGATCGCTTTCTTCAGGCTTTCGATCCCAAAGCCTCCTCCGATGCCCAAATAAACGGTTGCTTCTCCTGCGCCTCCATTGTGGGCATTTATCAAAACCTCTAAAATCGTGGTAAACGGGATAATTTCCCCTTAGTCAAGCGCCACGAGGGACCCTTCATTTCTTTCTTTAGCATCTACAATAGGGGCCCCACACACAGTAGGCGCCCCTGGAATGTTGGGCTCCTTTCTCTGGCAGCCCTCAATCCTTCGGCTTTTGGGAGACGTTCCCGAACTCGAGAAGAACCTTACCCCAAGTTTTTAAAAAATCTGCTCCGACCCCCTCGCTTGAGTGCCATCTTTCCCTAAGTTACAATTGCACATAATCGATCGTACTCGCTCCGTGGCACCTTTTCGTGGCACCTTTCACTACAATAGGATCGCCCAGATTCTCATCCCGGCACCAGCGCTTTCTTAGATGACCCTGGGAAGATTGCTTCTCTGAGTCCCGGTTTCCTCATCTGCGGTAACAAGATTCTTAGAGTTGTTCTGAGGATGAAGTGAGTTTATTTGCAGCAATTGCTTAAGATGGTTCCCGGCCCAGAGTAGGTGCTCAGTAACTATTAGCTATTCTTTGTGATTGTGGGCATTCTCTGTATATCTATCTTCCCTTCCTTCTCCCCTTTTCCCTCCAGATTTGAGGACCAGAAAAGTGCCAGATTTATTTATGTTTCTGGCCCCAACCTGGTATTTACTACACTGCTGGGAACATGGTAGGCACTTAATAAATTGTAGTTTAGAATCTTTTGACTGTAAAGCCATCTGTTCTCCTACTGTGGCTTTAGAACCAGGAGGAAATGCTAATCTACTTTTATCTACCTCAACTCGCCTAAATTACCGAAGTTATCCTAGTTCTACCCTCTTTTATCAATTTTATCTAACCTTTGATTTCCCATAGGCCCTAGGTTTTTCAGATATTCTTAAAAGGGGTGGGGGTGCTGGGGAGAGTGGAAGGTACTAGTCAGGAGGGTATTTTTGCCCTGTTACAGAGTGTAAGTGGCTGCATCCTATCACAAAGTGTTCAGAGACCTTCCAAGGTTAATTCATCCACTTAACACAATTAAAGGAGGGGGTCGTCTTGGAAAATTGAATCTCCTGCTGGGAGGGAGCATGTCAGTGTTTTGATCTAGGTAAGTAACCCCATGCTGAAACAAGTTCTGTCTGAAGAGGTTTAAAATGGTCTGCTGGTGAGGCTGCTGCCTGGAGCTGGAACACGTCCCTGCACACTATAGAGGGTGTGGTGACCTTGGTACCTGGTATTGCTGGGTTGGGTAATGAGAGTAATTAGAAACTGGATGAATCACAGTCTTGAAAACCCAGCCGAAGTAGGGAAGTGAAATTCCCACTGTACTGATACTTTAAAGCTCCAGGGCCAAGAATTTAAAGCATATGTAGGTGTTTCCAAGTACAGAGGGTACTAGCTGGGATGGTTCAAAAGCCTTGGGTCAGAGGAAGAAAGGGAACTAACCTATTGAGCATCTGTCTTGGCCGAGGCTTGAAACTACATGCATTTATTATGTTATCTCATTTAATCCTCCTACCAACAGCCTTGGGATGTCAATGATATGTCCATTTTACAGATAAAAAAATTGAGTGTTAGCAGGGAAGGGAAACAGCTCAGTGGTAGAGCACATGCTTAGCATGCACGAGGTCCTGGGTTCAATCCCCAGTACCTCCATAAGAAAATTTTTTTTTAAATAAAGAGTTTTAGAGATATTGAATGACCTGCCCACACTTTCATAGCTAGTGTGTGTCAAAGCCAGGATTCAGACCCAGGTTCCCTTGGCTCCAGAGCCCATGATTAACCAAACATCAGGACGCCTCAAGTGATAAGTATAGAAAGGAGTTGGGGGTGGGGAGGTCCTGAAATCATACTGTGCTGTTATAAATACAGTGCTGGACATTAAAAGGTCATCAGGAGAAGTTTGTTAAATTTAAGGTCACCACCTTTTTGTCTGTCCATCTTTCTCCTCTTTACCCTCATGAAAACTTAAGTTTTTAGATTTTGCTTAAATATGAATCACAGTTTAGAAGTTATAATTATCACCCTACGACAGAAGGTATCTTTCTCAGTACAAAATTCAAGCTGTCATTATTCTGCTTTCACTGAGTTTGATGAATACAGGCTGTGTTTACTGGTGCCTGATGAATTTGACAAACATGAGTGTTGTCTTGGCCTACAGACTTAAAATAGCCCCATGATTATAAAAGAAGTACAGGTCTGAGTGTATATCCAAATATGGAACTTGAATGATATGACAAAATTAGAAACGCAGTTTTAGAAGTAATTATACCATTGAATGAATGTTTATCTCTTTTGAAGGCTTTGCGACATTGCTTATAAGCCTGAGTTTTAGAATGGGGAAGCCTTTGCACCTTTTCTGTTTTAACTGTATGAGATATGTGCTTTTATTGCATGTGGATATTTACATTAAATTATTAATTTGCAGAGCAGTTTTGCTTTAACAAGTGAGCCTATAAAATGTGGCATTTAAAACTAAGTTGTTTTTTTTTTTTTTTTAATTTTTTTAGGTTGGGGAAGGAATTAGGTTTATTTGTTTTTAGAGGAGGTACTGGGGATTGAACCCAGTACCTTCTGCTTGCTAAGCACACGCGCTACTATTTGAGCTGTTTTCCCTCCCTTAAACTGCTTTTAATTAAGGAGATGTATTGTGACATATGTTATTTTGAGTAACTTTAAGTAAAACCTTTTGTAATGGGTAAGCATCTGATAGAGAAAAAGAATCATGCAGTAACATCTGGAAGTTTATTTTTAAAAAAACAAATTAGTCTCATTTGAATTCATTAAAATTTTTTTTTATTTGTTTTTATTTGTGAGTTGTAGTTTGCTTTCTGAACATGTACAAGTTAAAAAAATTAATGACCTGAATATCCTCAGTCTTAGAATAGAATGTGAAACACTGACATTTCTTATCAGATGTTTTATTTAAGGGTAAACGTACCTCTTTTTGACCTTTGGGTTCCTTTACAACAATGAGCGGAGACATTTCCTTTGCTTCCCACTGAGATTGATTTCTGCTTTGTCTGCTGAACTTTCATTGTTCACTTCACAACCTTCCAGTGGCCCTTCCATCCACTTCCTGCTTGCATCAGAATTCCTCTCTCACATTTCATTCTCCACCCTGGGTTGACGGACTTGTACTTAAGGGTATTGAAACTTCAGAGTTTTGTGAGTGCCTCTTAGAAATTATAATGGGGGGAGCCACACTGGCTGGTTTTTTGAAAAAAATTTCTCTTTCAAGTAATGGTTGCTTCTTCAGTGGATATAGATTTGGCTGCCTATAAAATAGAGAATTTGATTTGATTTTTAATTTAGCGATGTTTCACAATTCCTGCTTTTCATTTAATTACAATAAAAAGTTGAAAGAGTAATAAAAAACACCTGCCCACTCTTTGCCTAGATATACCAGATGTTAACATTTTGCCACATTTACTCTTTTTTCTTTTCTTTTTTTTAATTGAAGTATAGTCAGTTTACAATGTGTCAATTTCTGGTGTACAGCACAACGCTTCAGTCATACATGAATATACATATATTCATTTTCATATTCTTTCTCACTGTAAGCTACTACAAGATACCAAATATAGTTCCCTGTGCTATACAGTGTAAACTTGCTCTTTATATCTGTACATGTTGTCCTGAATGATTGAAAATAAATTACAGAAGACATCATGACACTTCATCCTGAAATACTCCATCATCTTTATCTCCTAAGAGTTAGGACATTCACCTACCTAACAGCAAACTATTATCATAGTTAAGAAATCAAAAATAATTCCATATTGTTATATGATAGGTAGTCCAAACTCACATTTTCCCAGTTTTACAAAATACATCTTTTACGGCTGTTTTAAAAATTTAGATTTACAGTCGAGTTTTATTTATTGAATTTGGTGTTCATAGCTCCTTTAATCTGGAACAGCCACCACCCACCCCTCCATCCCACCACTGCCTTTTTTGAATAGTCCAGGCCACTTATTTCAAAGGATGGTACACATTCTGGTTTTAACTGTTGATTTCCTCTTTGTGTTATTTAGCTAATTCCAGTCCCCTTTATTTCCTATCAACTGGAAATTAGATCTAGATCTTGATTGAATTTAGAGTAAATGTGTTTGGCATATGTATTTTATAGGTAGGTTGGCCATTTTACCAGGTTTCTCCAGGGTAGTCCTGTGGCCTGTTTTCACAGCATAATTATTAATAGTGCCCCTTTTTGCTCTCTTAAAAGTATTCTGGTCTGGATAATAAATTAAGTGATCACTATTTGTAAGTGATGATGTGCACTTCAGGTCATCTCCCATCAGGAGGCCCATCAGATTAGATTGTCCCACTACTTATGACACTGAGATTGATTAGTTGGCTAAGGTGATGACTGCCAGATTTTTTTTTTTATTCTAAAGGCATGTTTTTCTCTTTATAATTAGTACGTAACCTGAGGGATGACCATTTGAGACTGTGTGAATATCTTGTACCCCAACAGTCTTAGCCCAGAGTTTTAGAGTCCCTTGATGGCCCGTGACAGGATAAATTATACATTGGTGGTTACAATGCTAATTGTATTTAAATGATTAAGTTTTGACATTGATTCTTTTTTAAAGGGAGAATAATGTTTTATTTATCCCCAAACATTTCAAGACCCCCAGACAACTTAAATGTGGGTTGCCTACCATTTTAAATGCTTTTTTTCTGTTGCTCATTGCAGCTTTCTATCCCTTGAAAACACTAAGAATAATGTCCCTGCATCAGTTTTTACTAGAGCCAATCACCTGCCATGCCTGGAACAGGGATCGTACCCGTAAGTATGCTGGGAGCTTTGCTTCTTTATTTTGGTACCTTTGATAGCTTTTAGATGTAGGTACTTTTAGAGATCACATATTTCAGTGTCACATGTGAACAGGACTTAGGTATAGCTTCAGCACAAAACTAGGTCAGTCCTTTGGTTTACAGATTAGAGAAATCGAGGCTTAGGGTGTTGGAAGGACTTTGCAGTGGTTACACCCAAGTTAATCTCAGAGCCCTTGTCAGTGCTCAAGCCTTCTGGCTCTTCGTCCACGTCTTTTTCTGCAGTACCACCTGGAGGGCAGTTTATATCAGACATCTTCCATTGCCCTAATAACCCAGTGTCTGGATGAGTTACACTCATCCAGCATTTAGTCAAAATATCAGAACTTAGAAATAAGCAGTTACAGAGGCATATGGTTTACTCCTGATGTACTGAGAGCAGTATTACATGGTTTTTGCTATGTTATTCATAATAAGCTTGAGTTTCCAGTTTTCTAGCTCCAGCAAACTAAAAGGGGACGGAGACAAGGTTTTAGAAGTAGACACAGTACAGCAAGCTAAGTGCGGGCAATGTGACGAGAAGGCAAAAAAAAAAATCGAAAAACAGACAGAAATGTAGTATTATGCCCATGAATTATTCTTAAAAGTTAGATGTATATTCACTGTCTAAAATAACAGCTTTATTAAAATATAATTCACATATCATAAAATTCACCCTTTTAAAGTATACAATTCAGTGGATTTTAGCATATTAAACAGAATTATGCACAATCACCACTATCTAGTTTAAGAATATTTCATCGCTCCAAAAAGAAACCTGTACCCATTAGCATTCACTCTTGGTCTTCTTCAAAACTCCCAGTTCTGGGCAATTGCCAGTCTACTTTCTGTCTCCATGGATTCGCCTGTTCTGGACATTATGTATACGTGGAGTCATACACCATGTGGCTTTTTGCATCTGGCTCTTTTTCATTGAGCATGACGTTTTTAAAGTTTATCCATGCTGTAGCATGTGTTAGTACTTGTTTCTTTTTTATGACTGAATCATATTGTATAGACAGTATTAACACATTTTGTTTATTCATCAGTTGGTAGAAATTTGAGTTGTTTCCACGTTTTTGGCTTTTGTGAATGATGTGGCTGTGACCATTCACATGCAAGTTTTTATGTGGTTATATGTTTTGATTCTCTTGAGTATATACCTAGGAGTTGAATTGCTGGGTCATATGGTAACTCTGTTGAACATTTGAGGAACTTGCAAACTGTCTTCCACAGGAGCCACATCATTTTATGCTCTCACTAGCGGTATATGGAGGTTCTAGTTTCTCTAACATACATCTTCATCAACACTTGTTATTGTCTACCTTTTTTATTATAGTCTTATATCCTACTGGGTATAAGTAGTATCTCATTGTAGGGTTTTTTTTTTTAATTTAATTTTTTTTTAATAGAGGTACTGGGGATAGAACCCGGGACCTCACGTATGCTAAGCATGTACTCCACCACTGAGCTATTACCCTACCCTCCTCTTGGTAGTTTTAATTTGCATTTCCCTGATGACTGGTAATGCTGAGCATCTTTTCACATGCTTATTGGTTATTTATATATCTTCTTTGATGAAATGTCTGTTCAGATCCTTTGCCCATTTTTTAAATTGAATTGTCTTTATTATTGAGTTGTGAGAATTCTTTACATATTCTGGATACAAGCCCCTTATCAGATATGTGATTTACAAAATCTCCCATTCTGTTTTTTTCTCTTCACTTTCTTGATGGTGTCCTTTGAAACACAAAAGTTTAATTTTTGATGAAATCCAACCTACCTATTTTTTCCTTTTGTTGCTTATTATATTTGCTGTTGTATCTAAGAAACTGTTGCCTAATTTAAGATCACAAAAATAGATACTCATGTTTCCTTCTAAGAGTCTTACAATTTTAGCTCTTGTATTTAGGTCTTGGATCAATTTTGAGTTAACTTTTGTAAATGGTGTGAGATAGGGGCCCAACTTCATCCTTTTGCAGGTGGATATCCAGCTGTCCCAACACCATTTATTGAAGGCTGTTCGCTCCATTGAATTATCTTGGCACCCTTGTCAATCATCAGATGACTGTAAATGTGAAAGTTTATTGGACTCTCGCTTATATTCCTTTCATCTTTTTTTTGTTTGTGTTTTTTTTAATTGAAATATAGACAGTTTACAATTCCTGGTGTACATCATAATATTTCAGTCATATATATACGTATGTATTTGTTTTCATATTCTTCTTCATTATAGGTTGCTATAAAATACATGTATTCCTTTGATCTTTATGTTTATCCTAATGCCAGGACTACAGTGTCTTGAACTGTAGCTTTGTCATAGATTTTGAAATTGGGAGATGTGAGTTCCAACTTTGTACTTCTTTCTCAACGTTGTTTTGGCTCTTCTGGGTCCGTTGCATTTCCACATGAATTTTAGGATCGGATTATTAATTTCTGCCAAAAGAAAAAACCAGCTGGGATTTTGATACGGATTGCTTTGAATAGATTCACTATCTTCTTAAAAGTAACTCAGACATGGTTTACTCTTATTTTTAAATAAATTCTTGGCACATGAACAGTATACTCCAGGTTATCGTTGTGTGAAGTGAAAACCTAGATAGGAGCCTCTGTGTTGAGCGTGGCAGGATGGTGAATCTCCAGCTTCTGTTTTGTGATCATCTCACAAAGCTCCATGGCTTAGTTGCATATATATTGTCTTCACTTTCTCATATAAAAATAAGGTTTTGGAGTATTTTCAATTATTTTTAGTAGAAATGCAAGTTATCATTGTCCTTATTTAAACTACTCGATAAACTCAGTATATTAAGACAGAATTTTTTGTGCTAAATTATAATTTGAAATTTATAATATTTTTCAAGTTTAAATTTGGATTTGGATTTTGAAATCCTATATGCATCCTAGAAATTTAGAGAAATATATAACTTGTTTCCAGAAAGCAGTTGAAGTCTTATGAGTTTAGAGCTAGACATTGATCCAGTTCCACAGTTTCATCTGTAAAACAGATGTAGCTTTCCTAAAGAGTGAAGGAAGGGGGATATAATAGATGGGGGAACTATCAGATGATTGACATAAAGTTTGAGTCATAGGTTTTTATTTCAAGAAGTCAATTTTTTTTAAATGGATGAACTAGAAAGAAAAAATATAAGTTCAAAAAATCCATCATAGGTGTGTATTCTTAACATTTTGGATTGGTCTAAGAGATTTCTCTTGAAAACAGTTTTATTTTGTGATTTGTGTTGCTTTATTGTAAAGGAAAACGAATATATTTTATCAGTAGAATCAAGGGTTTTTATTTTGGTAAACTAGTGTTTCAAACCTGGGTTTATGATAGTGGTAATGAGAGCCTATGAGCTGTTTTCGGCGTTTCAGAAAGTCTAACAGAAGTTAAATATTTATTGTTAATAATGATGTATAGGTGAACTAAGATATCAAGTATCTTTACTGTAGACTAAAATTGTATCAGTTAAGTATAGCAACATTGTTTATTTGTTAATGGTTTGAATCTTTAATTGAGTTATATGTCTCTAATAAATGAATTTTTAAATTTAGTTTTTTTATAAAACATTTTGAAATATGGGGGTCCAAGTAGAGGTAAAAATAATAAAGAAATTCTTCAGGGGTGAATATTGGGAACCGTCTTGCCGCTTTCCTGTTCCTTCCTTCGGTCTGTTTTTGAAATGCCTGTTGTAGCATATCCTTTCTTTTGGTGACAATTTCAAGCTCAGGTGTAAACAATTGACTTTTTCCTGCAGAGATTGCCCTTAGCCCCAATAATCACGAAGTCCACATCTATAAGAAGAATGGGAGCCAGTGGGTGAAGGCTCATGAACTCAAGGAGCACAACGGACACATCACAGGTAAAGGAAGACAGCTGTGAAGTTAGTACGGTTTTTCCAAGGTTAGCACTCATCTGTTTAAATAAGGAGCCTAATAAAGCAAGTCTGCTGTAATATTTAAAGTTGTGCAGCATTTGCTAAGTTTTCTTTAGAAAATCTGAGAAAGTATCGTAATAGTGATCTCAGTTTCTAAGTGCTTCTTTCAGCCCAGCTGGTACCCAGCACTTTACTAGTGTTTCGGAAAACACCAAACCTGCTCAAAGGACTAGAGAGCTTAGGTTAGACGAGGCGTGAAAGCAAAAGCCAGGCAGCATGTCAGCTTGTGAAGCTACAAGCCCAGCTGTGTTCCTCGGGGAACACAGTGTCTTCCAGAAGTTTTCCTGTGTGTTGTTTTTGAGGTGAGGAAGACATTCCAAAATATTGAAAAGGACAGAGTAATGTAACAAACACCCATATCCCTGCCACCTAGAATTAGCAGCTGTCTGTCTTTTTCCTTGTGCTAGAAAACAGGAAACAAAGATTTAATCATAAGGAGTACTATTCCAGATAATAATAAAGTCCCCTCTCACCACGAGCCCTGTGCCTCCCCCGCAGAAGGCAGTCTGTAATTTGATGTGACGTTGTCCCAGGCCTTTGTTGATACTTTCACATATGTGTGTGTCTGTGTATGGAAGCAGTCTTTAGTACCATTGGCTAGTATTTGTAAATACAGCATAAATGACATCATATGGTGGATCTCCCACAGCTTGCTCTGGCTTTCCATGAAACATTGTTTTTGAGCTCTTTGTATCTAGATTAAGTTGATTCTTTTTACCCTCTGGATAGCATTTCATACTTCATTGACTCGTTCCTCTGTTGAAAAAATTTAAGTTGTTTCCACTTTTTCCTTCTTACACTGAATTGAGCATCCCCGAGGAAATCTCGAAGACTAGATCTTAAAGCATTGGCTCTGAGACAGATTCCTAAGTGTACAGTAATTTTCATCTTTGACAAAAACTGTCAGTGATAAAAGCAGCAAGCAGAGCAGTGTCAAAGGAGAAGGAAGTAAAGACAAATTTTACAGTGGTTTTCAGAATTTAATGAACCAAATCTTGATACTGAATTTCAAGAGAACGTATTGCTTTGTTGTTAAGTCACATCTGGCTGCTTTTTGAAAAATAACATATTAACTTATTGCTCTGTTCAGGAGGAACTCTTGTTCTTTGACCCTTACTACTATAGTTTCTTTTTCATCCTATTTTCTGGCGGAGTGATTCAACGTCTCGCTTTAGACCAAGCACATCAAAACTTACTCTCCATGAGTTTTCAGTTACAAGTTTCTCGTCTTGGGCTTCCTCTCTCCTCACAATGACTTGCACTTAAGTGGGCAGCACAGGGACTGATGGTAATTTTTTCCTTTTTAATTAGGACCCTGAAGTTTTGCCTCTATTCCCCAAACATACTGGTTAGCTTAAAGATATCCTTCCCCACCAAGCAGAAGAAAAACGTAGCATGTTCTGACCGTCTGCACCCTTTACATTGTACTCCCCAGCAAAAACTCATGGCTGTCCCTTTTTGCTTTTACCAGTGATTTATAGGTGATGCTGGTCGGGGGCTGACTGACTATGTTACCAAACCAGCTCCAAAGAGATGATTTCTCTTTTTGTTGCTGTTGCTTTCCCATGACCTTATTTCTATTAGGTTTGACCTATTTTCTAAGTCCCTTTGCCAGTGGCCTTACAGCCTAAAAATAAGGACATCCATATTCTTATATTGGAATTTTAGCATTAGGAAATACTTACAAATGAGTAAAGCCTAAGATAAAAGACCAAAGAAATAGCTCAAAAGTGAACTAGTTACTTAGTTATGTCCTTTTCCTCCCCTGCTTCTCTTTTGGAATCCTTTGAACTTGGGCCTGTTTTCTGTCCAAATGCTCAAATGACATTTTTTTTTATTTGAAAAAACTGTTGTTGGAAAAGTCTAAATATAACTCTGTGGCAGGAGACCAAGGATCAAACATAATTTCTCAGAGAGATCGTAACTACAGAAAAAGAAAGTTATTCTCTGAAGCTTTTTAGAAGAAAAGACTAGTCAGCACTACAGAGAAAAAGAATGTGACAAACATCAAAGGGATAGCAGAGTTCTGTTGTTTTCCTTTGAGTTTACCGTTTTGTGTTAAATGTTTGATCACTGTCTTCTTAAAAAACATTTTACTGTGGACAGTTTGAAACAGCACATAAAAGCAGAATGATGTGGGGGAGGGTGTAGCTCAAGTGGTAGAGCGCATGCTCAGCATGCACCAGGTCCTGGGTTCAATCCCCAGCACCTCCATTGAAAAAAAATAATTAAATAAATAATTAAATAAATAAACCTAATTACCCTCCCCCCTAAAAAAAAAAAGCTAAGAGAAAAAGCAGAATAATGTAATGAGCCCCTATAAACCCATCACTCAGATTCAGCGGTTGTCAGTTCACAGCCAGTCTCGTTCTCAACTCACTTTTCTCCTTCCTGTACTGTTTTCAGGTACATCCCAGGCATTGCATCATTTCATATTTCAGTTTGTATCTCTAAAAGATAAGGACTCTTTAATAATAATCAATACAATAGTCTTTTAATTGGCACCCTGACAAGGGCCACACGTGGCTGTGATTAGTTGATGTATCTCTGAAGTCTTTTGTTCATAGACTCCCTTCTCTTTCTTTTCCTTTGCAATTTATTTGTTAAGAAAATTGAGAAATCAGGTTGTCTTTTCTGTAGTGTTTTCCAGAGCTTGAGTTTTCTGATTGCAGGCCCACTGTGTTTTACACATTTCTCCGTTCTCTGTGTCTCCTGGAAATTGCTCGTCGAAGTTAGGTAGTAATAGGTTCTTTCATGAAGGAAGCAGCTCATGTCCAATCGTCTGCGATATTAGCAGCTGTTGACGATCAGTGCCCGTGTCCGTTCATTTAGTAGTGGCTGCATCGTGGTGATGTTCTGAATCTTTCATTTCTTCTCTATTGGCTGAAATACATTTATGAAAGAGACACTTACCTTCATCTGCTGTTTGGTTATTCTGAGATATAATTAGGACAGTAAAGACAGGATAGATGCTTGATTCCTTTCCTTTTCCTTTAGAGTATTCTGGTGGCAGGAAAACAAAAAAGATGCAACACTGAATTAGTAAGAAATGAGAATTTGTCTTTTACCATATATTTGCCCTTCCCAGCTCTCTTTTTAACAAGTGTATGTCTAAAAAGAGTTAAAAGCTAATGCCTAAAATAGTATGAGGCTATGACTGTGGTTTTACAGCTTCCATATTTAAATGAAAGATGTAGCTACAGAAATAAACTTAAAACTATTAAAACCTAGCAGAAGGCAGTTCCTTGTATTTTTCTTAAAGAGTAAGGATCTATTTTTTAACCACCTCAGGAATTCTTATAAAATACATATGTGTCTAATTAGAGTGGTGCTTATATTGGAACACAGGATGAAATTTCAGATTGTCAAAATCATTACAAAATCACTGAATTTTGTCATTACCAGACAATATAATCTGGATGTTAGAGGACGTGTTAGTTTTCTGTTGCTGTGTAACAAATACTACCATCTTAGCAACTTAAACCAAAACACGTTTATCATCTCACAGTTTTTGTGGATCAAGAGTCTGGGTTTGACTTATCTGGGACCTCTGCTCAGATCTCAGAAGCTGTGATCAAGGCGGCAGCCCGGGGGGTTCTCATCAGAGGCTCCACCAGGGAAGGACCCATTTCCAGACTCCTTCAGGTTGTTGGCAGTAGAGTTGATTTCCTTGCAGCTGTAAGACTCGTGGCAGCTTGCTTCTCCAAAGCCAGTAGTGGAGGAAGAGTGTGAGAGTCTCTAGCAAGAGGGGGGCTACCACACTCCTAGGTAACCTTGTACACTGTCGTGTACGTCTCATCACCCTGCTGGCATTCCGCTGGTTAGAAGCAAGTCTCAAGTCGTGCTCACACCCATGGGGAGCAGGTCACATGGAGTCGTGACACCACCAGGCAGGATCTTGGAGACCACTCTAGGGTCTGCCCCCCACAGTAGTTTCAGAGACTTGCTTCATGTTGTCAAAAAGCTTGTAACCAAGTTAGGAAAACAAGACAATCATAAAACTATTTTGCATCACACATCTGGGGATTTATCATAAAGAGATCGTTTTAACCAGCGCAAAAAAGTATATGCTTAAATATTACAATTTTAGATATTTTAATAAGTGGTTGGAAACTAACAAAACATTCAACAGTGGATGTTTGGGAAAATTATGATAAAAATCAGTGTTCTAAAATAATGTGTAACTACTGCTAATTTACTAAAAAAAAAAGCAGGAGAAAATGTTTGCCGTGATAGCAGTATCCTTTGCAGGGTGAACGTGTGTGGATGTGAAGAACAGAAGCAGGGCTTTTTTGACTTTCCATGTGTCCCATTATGATGTGTGTCTTATGACAATATATGGGTTTGCTTTTGTAGTTAAAAATAAAATTTGAAATCTAGTAAAGAGGGCTGCAAAGGTATCCTGTAATGAATGGATTTAAAAATCAAAACACACATCACTGATTATACTCCCCCATGTCTTTTTCCCTTCTGCAGTACAAATAATTGAGCTGACTGTCCCTATAGGTGAATGAATGTATACATCCTTCACGCTACTAAAGTCGCCGTGATTTATGACTAATGGAGACTTTGCTTTAAATTCATCTTACTCTTTTAGTATAAATGTTAAGAATTTTTAGGGAGATACCTATAATAAAAATTTATGAGTAGTACTTCTATACTTCAGTGTTAATTTGTATTTATAGAAAATATCTCATCAATAACTATAAAATGACTGAGTCATAGCAGATTTTACTCTTGGTATGTAACAGACTGACCTTGACTTTGGAACCCTTCACAGAGGTACTGTGAAAAGTAAGTCTGATCAAATAAGAAAAAAAATCTTACATTCAGATGCGTATTTAAGTCTCTTCCTAGTTTAGATGCAGAGATACTCAAGACTCAATTTCATAGAACTTGTATCATCTACAAAAGGTATTTCTGTTAGTTTAAATGACAGTGACCTTTAGAAGAATCAGTTTATATTTTTCACTCTCTATACTAAAGCCTGTTTACCTTATATGTTGTTTTATTCGGATGTCACATAGCAGACGTTCAGCTAATACCATGGAATGAAATCTGTTACTAAATGAACAAAGGTACTTTCAGACCAAAATAAAATCTGATAAAGAGGGAAGGAAAAAGTCTTCAGCCCAGATAGTCTAAAGACAAGTGGGTGGAAGGAATGCTCCTGCTTGGTGGGTGACCTGTGCAATTATGAAACAGCTCTGTTCTTCCCGGCCCCCAGAGGACCCTGAGTTATAGAACTTTGCAGAGAAACAGCCTTTGTGTGTGAGGTGGTGATTGGGACCACAGTGGGGGAAGGATTGGCCAGGGAGGAGGGTGCCCATCCGCCTCTGCCACGTCAGCTCTCCGGGGCAGGCAGAGCAGGTGACTCCTTGTCCCACTTGCAGGTATCGACTGGGCTCCCAGGAGCGACCGCATTGTCACCTGCGGGGCAGACCGCAATGCCTATGTCTGGAGTCAGAAAGATGGTGTCTGGAAGCCAACCCTGGTGATCCTGAGAATTAACCGTGCAGCCACCTTTGTCAAGTGGTCCCCACTAGAGAACAAGTTTGCTGTGGGCAGCGGAGCACGACTCATTTCTGTTTGTTACTTCGAATCTGAAAATGACTGGTGAGCAACATCTGAGTCTTTGATTTCTCTCTGTAGAGTAATACACTTGGACCGCTGTGTGCTCAGGGGCTTCTAGAGGCACTGGGTGAAGGTTTAACTCTAACTTCAGGTTTTCTTCATGTGGAGATTTTTTTTTCCTTTGAAAGTCTCCATTCTCTCTGAGCATTTTTCCACCTTCTGTGTACAATGAGTCAAACCTCACATCTCTCTCATATTAACATCAAGCTGTGGTTTCCATGTCTTGATCCCCTAACTTGTCTGTTCTTCAAGATGCTGCTACTCTTCTCACTCCGCACTGTCCAAATTGCTGTTTTCTTACTCAGATATATAAATTATAAACTTGAAAGATTCCCAATGCCCTGAGGAAGAGTTTTTTCTCCTGTCTCTATCCACCTAAAATATCTGGGATTCTTACAGGTAACAATATTTTCCTTTCTGTAAAGTTTGCTGACCAAATCTGTGTCCTGGGGTGGTGTTTTACTTGTTTAAACTGTTGAAGTAAAATTGACGAGAATTTAGAAATATAACCAGCCTGTTGTACTTTATACTGTAAATCACTTGCGGCTGAGCCACAAGTCAAAATACAGGGGTTTATCTTGTGCTAAGTGACTTCCTTTAACTACTGCTTCCTGCTTTCCTTGTTAAGGAAACCACTGCTCTCCCCGCACAAGTTCAGAAAGGGTGATAAACACCCTTCAACGTGGAATTGTCATTTAGTGCGAAACTGGCAGTGTTTGTATTTGCACTAAAAATAGCAGAGCACACAGTGCACTTCATGTGTCACTGCTTTCTGCCAGAAGGGAAGGGAAGGGATTATCATATTACATTTTGTAATTTAGTAAATTCTCAGAAATTTTGATTCTTTGAAATAAATCTGTGGATTTGCAACAGGATTGAATTATGAATTGAAGATGTGTTTTTTTCTCAAGCATCTTTGAAAATAAGGCTCACAAAATGTTGCCTGCTAGAAATGTTTAGAAGGCTCACTGCACCAAATAGATGAGAAGCAGCTCTTCTTGGGTAGCCTTCAACCGCAGTGACTTTGGACTTTTATTCATTGAAAAATAGTCTCAAACTCAGGTAAATTGGGCTTTCCTGTGGTACTGTCATTTGAATGAGCCATGTGTTCAGGGGAATGTCTAGCCATGGTACGGTATTTCATTGGGATATTTCATTCAGCTTCCAGAAGCCTTTAGTGTAAAATAACTGTTTTATAGAACAAGTCAGAATGTCGTGTATTTTTCAGAAAGGCCCCTGAGAAAAAGATTCTATAGAAAGGTAATTTAGCATCCAAGGAAGGGCTTTCGGCTCAATATTAAGTCTCTCGGCTCCAGAAGAGCAGAATATGATTGGCTTTTAAACAGCAGTTTAGGGGTAGAAATTGAATTAGGCCAGAATAATGACTGATCTTAGACGTAAGCAAACACTTTGGGTGGAACTAGAGAACTGGTTAGAGGCTCGTCTCCAGCAGGGGTTCTGCTGTTGTCTTGGCTGTGATTTCTCTGTGAAAAATAAAAGTGTGTGCAGCTTCGCAGAGACTTAGAAAGGATATTAAGCTATTTTACAACCCAAACTTAACCCAAAATGAAACAATTCACTAAGTATTTGTAATAAAAATTCAAGTAATTTCAAACATCAATTTCTATTTCAAAGGTTAGAGTCACGAAATCTGAAACTCCGTGGGAGACAGCACCAGAGTTAATCCGTAAATATACTTACTAATGAAGATTTCTTGGAAGCTGGAAAAGTTGAGAACTGGCTACTCTGATGAGAAGGTCAAGGCCTGAGAGACAGAAGAACAAAGGGGCCGCTATGGTTCTCTGTCCTCTCTTCTTGTAGAAACGCATCTTCTCTCTGGCAGGAGGCCCTGTGGCCACGTGGGAACCATGCGTGGGTGTTTTCGCCTGACACACATTTGTAGGTCATTTGGGGACCGTTGCTTGATGTGTGGATAAACTCACATGGATTTTCTCCTTTGGTAGGTGGGTAAGCAAGCACATTAAAAAGCCAATCCGCTCCACGGTCCTCAGCCTGGACTGGCATCCCAACAACGTCTTGCTGGCAGCAGGATCATGTGACTTCAAATGCAGGTGGGGATGAATGAGAATTGGTAGACAGCCTTGTCTTTCAGCGAGTGTGTCTGAGGTTCCTTTTCTCTATAAGGTGCCCTGCTAGGCCCCACGAGGGACTCAGATGAAAGGGAAAGGAACTAAAGCAAGTGCAGAAATCACAAGGTAGAAAGAAGTGGACTTGGAGGGGCAGGCGGAGGGGATGCGAAGACGGGGCCTGGAAGTTTCCTCAGGCAGAACATCCTTGGTTGGAGCGCAGGTAGAGTGCCCCCCACCCCTGAGAGTTATTTCTCATTTCATAACCCAGGCGGCCAACTCGGCAAATTCCACAGTGAAACCAAGATTAACAAAACATAGCTGTACAGTGAGTGCACTGCTGAGCTGTATTGTGCTGTTCCTTTTCAGTTAAAGCTCTTTATTTGTCATTAGCATGAGGCTAAAAGAAACACAGCCACTTTGCTAAGAGCTTTAAGGATCATACAGTGTAATTGCTTTTTAAAGCTGTTCTTTGTCAAGAAGGCTTTTTTCCCCCTTACCCAGAAGGAAAGCAAGTAAATGTTGCTTCGTGTTGACTGTCTGGTGGGTTGGGAGACAGGATGTCTATTTCTGGGGTCAGCTGGGTGGAGAAATTCCAGGAAACATGGCTAGTGCTTCATATCCAAGAATACCCAAGGGTTTTGGGGTTTGGACTTTCTTTTAAAGGGTATATATGGGAATTTGGCTGTGGGATGAGGGTACAGCAGTGTCAAGGTACTTTTTGGGTAAAGTTGGGTTCTTTTACTTCAGAACCAGTGTGTAACAGTAAAGATTTTTCCATCATTCAGGAGTGTTGTTGTTTGTGATGTGTTGCCCAGAGTCATTCTAGTCCCCTTAGAAGATAGGACCAAGTGGCACTTAACCCTGCCACCTGGATTGTCAGGCTGTGTCTACAACCTGCCTGAACAGGTAGCTTACCATTCTTTTGTTAATACTGATTTCCAGAAATAAACGTTGCTTTTACCTGTGGTCCTGTGGGTAAGGGTCGTTCTGTTCGCACTCTCGAGCTGGCAGCTGAGAACCAGCGTTCTTTTCTGGCTTCCGATGACAACAGCAGTAGCCAGCTGATGCCGATTCAAAGCTCACTGAGGTCACATCAGCTAACTTACAGATAACTCAGGGTGTCCTCTGCTTCTCCGCTGTCCTCTTCCAGAGCTGCTGCGGCCATTGTCGTTTTAGGGGGAAAATATCCCAGATCACTTAGGGAGTCTTTAGGTTCAGAAGTTCTTGGAGAGAAGCTGTATAAAGAAATAGCACTGGAGGGCAAAGAAACTAAAAGGGCAGATTCCCAGCTGTTCTGTGTCCCTTCTGCTTCCCAACTCTGGGTTGAAACATCCTTTCCCACAGCTCCCGGAATTAGAGATAGAAACTAACAGCCCGAGGCTGTAAAGGATGTGCCTTCCTCCCAGACTAGACCTGTCCCAAAGGCTGGGCGGTGGGCCTGAGTGTGACACCAGGGAGAGCCTGCCCACTCGTCCGCACTGGCCTCCCTTGGCTTTCTCTTTGGGTGTCCCTGTCTTTCTTTAAGTGAGTTAATGCCTTGGTTCATCGCAGCATGGCTAGCACTTGGCTCTCTCCCGCTGTTTGACGGTGTGGGCCTCCTGGAACGCTGCTGAGAATGATGGTGAAGTAGGCAGGAGAGTACGCTGTGGTTTCTCGGAGGAGCCCGCCCTGGGCGAGGGAGGGTAGCGTGCACTCCGGGGGGAAGGGCTTTGGGGTCGTCACATGTAGAACTGTGCCCCGGGGGCAGTGCCTGACATGTTGTAGATGCCCCATGAATGTCTGTTGATGGAGGATAGATTTGCCAAACTTGGGTTGACCTGTCGGCAGCCCTTAGAGCCCTTCTGTGTCTTGAGAGGTTTGTGTATCTGAATTTATCCATCGCCAGGTTTTGCTTTTAATGAGTCGGTGTCTTTGCAGTTTGGACACCTTACAGCAGCTGCCTGCGGCCTGTTTCTGCAGACACGCATTTCCATTTACTTTTTCCTTCGCTTTCTGCCCTTGAACCGCAGAGTGTTTTCTGCCTACATTAAAGAAGTGGATGAAAAGCCAGCCAGTACCCCCTGGGGCAGCAAGATGCCTTTTGGTCAGCTGATGTCAGAGTTCGGTGGCAGTGGCACCGGCGGCTGGGTGCACGGGGTCAGCTTCTCCGCCAGCGGGAGCCGCCTGGCCTGGGTCAGCCACGACAGCACCGTGTCCGTAGCCGATGCCTCCAAGAGCGTGCAGTGAGTATTTCCTTTGTTTGGAGTGGGGAGGTGGGTGGGATCTCTCTCCAGCTGGCCCAAGGCTGCGCTCCCCTGGGTGTAAGTGCAGGGCACAGACGTAAAATTCCGAAGCAGAACTGCAAGGCAGCCTTAAAGGCAGAGACACACATTTAGAGTGCCCGTTTGGGGACATTTTAAAGACTTAGGTCTCGCTTCCAGAAATACTTTCTAATGCTAGTGCTGGGATTCCTTTGAAGGACCCTCTTGGTTTGCTACTGATAAGAAAGAGTTCCTCCAGAACGTCAGTTTAGTCTGTTCCCAGAATTCCTTACAACACGTAAATGTCATCCAGCAGCCTTAGATTGCATGGGAGATACGTTCTCACCCTGTGCAGTCAGGGAACAGTGACTCCATGAATTTGGGGCTTCATTCAGTAACACCTCACAGCCCGGTGCCAGTTCCCTGGTGTGTGTGGCAGAACCCAACTGCAATGACTCACTGTGAGGGACAGGCCTGCCTGGCCGAGGGGAGCCGGGGTGTCCTGTCACACTTCAGAGCTGTGTTTGCTCATCGTGTGGTCGAGGAAGAGAGAAAATGACTGGAATCCTTTCAGCTTATGAATTTTGGTTCTTTCCCTGTGAATCCTTTTCCATTGGCAGCTGAAGGTTAATCCACCTGTGAAGGTTTCCTGACTTGCCACCCTGTGTGCTGGGAACCAGTTTCATCTCACTCCCTCTGCCCTGCAGTGACGAGGTGTCGTTTCAGAGAGAATGTATTTTTCTTAATGGGATTAAATTGGTTTGTTTGTTTGTTTTTTCCCCCAAATTTTTCTGACACCTCCCCCCATTATAAATGGTGCAGTCTTCCAGGAGATTTCCATATGTAGACAGACACTTACATATTGTATCACTTTTACCTCAAACAGGGTTATGCTATAATTTTATACACTAGTTTGCTTTTTGTCATTCAATAATCTTTTGATCTCATGGCTATGTGACCTGTGTGCAGTTAATTGTAATGCATAATAAGCTCTGAGCATATGCTTATTGCAAGCCCCGTTCTACCCTCAGTGATTTATTACAGGGCTTTTCTGGTCCTGCAAGTCAGATTACATCCTTCACCCATCTCCATCTCAGACGTAACTGTTTCATGTGGTAAGGGCCAGGTATGCTGCAGTAAAGCCTTAGGAAGAGGTGATAGGATTTTAACCCAAAACCAGTCGTACTGGTGGGGCTGGGGGCACCATAGGGGGGTCTCCTGAGACACAGTTTTCAAAATACATCATCTTTTATATGGAGCTGTATGACCCTAATTCATCAACCAATGTGTTTGCCTGCCATGTCTGTGTGACCTTGGTCAGGTGTGAAGCAGATGACTGTGAGGTGTACGTGTGTGCATAGCACACACACACCCAGCCCACTCCTGTGTGAGTGCCTGGCCGGCCGACGCTGTGTTGGGTTCATCGCTGGCCATAGCCCCTGCCCCAGTGCCTGGTAGGGCACAGAGACCAGCCTCTTGTAAATGTTCGTGGTCCCAGCCCTGTAGGAGCCCACGAGAGCACAGTGAGGGGAGGAGAGCAGAGAAGGGCGTTCAGTCCTGAGTGACCATGACAGTCAGCTCTAGGAGGTCAGAGAAAGGAGAAGCCACTTCAGGCAGAAGTGGTCCAGAAAGCTTCCGGAGGGGATGAAACTCGCGGTGAGCTCCACAGACAGGGGTGGGCTTTGGATAAGCAGGAGGAGCCCAAGGGTGCGTGGGTAAAGGGCAGGGGACCGAAGACCGGGACAGCAGGGGACCAGCGCTCGCCAGGACCACGCTGTCGAGCAGTTTGTGGAGCACAGGCCAGAAAGCGCTGAAGGCCTCGCTTCTGCAGGTTACTCAGGGCTGTCTCATGCTTGAGATTCCTGAAAGTCTGGGTCGTGGGGCTCCTTTGAACATAAGTGTCTGTTTATATTCCCGAAGCCCCTGTGAGAATGGGTCCTTTGTCATCTGCTGTGTCTGAAGAATCCACGTGGTCCGTTCCATCTCAGGTTAACAAGTGTTCTTGTGTTCAGGGTCTCGACTCTAAAAACAGAGTTCCTGCCCCTCCTGAGTGTATCGTTCGTCTCGGAGAATAGCATCGTGGCTGCTGTAAGTGTTTCTCTTCATTTTTCCTCATGGTGCCCTATATCTAATTCTCCAGAACAGGAGCAGTGCGAGCTCTGTGGCTGTGCACGAGCACAAAGCAGCACCGCCCTGGAGAAGAGACAGCTCGAGGGGCGCCTGTTCCACAGTGGGCTTGGTTGGTGGGCGGCGTACCCTGCAGGGCCTGACTGGTGCCTTGTTTCAGGGCCACGACTGCTGTCCAATGCTCTTTAACTACGATGACCGTGGCTGCTTGACCTTCGTCTCCAAGCTAGACATTCCAAAACAGAGCATCCAGCGCAACATGTCCGCCATGGAACGCTTCCGCAACATGGACAAGAGGGCCACGACTGAGGACCGCAACACGGCCTTGGAGACGCTGCACCAGAACAGCATCACGTGGGTGCCGCCGGCCCCCCACTTCCCACCCCCCTGGGTGCCCCCTGTCGCCAGGGCCCTGACCTCTGTACATCACATGGGTGCCGCCAGCCCCCAGCCCCCTGGGCACCCCCTTCGCCAAGGCGCTGACCTCTGTGCACAGGTGATCGGGTGACCAAATGCCTTTCCTCCCTCTTTGTTTCCTGACTGGGTGCCCATGAAAATCCTGTGTACTTTGGGCCCAGACATCCCTTCAGTAACAAGAGTGGTGAGAAGTCTGCAGCTTCCTGACTGCAGGCTTTTATTTTCAACTTGTCACAGAGAGTGAGCCGCCCCCACATAGTCGTGCTGTCCCTGGAGGGTTGGACAGCACCAGCCACCCACGAGCAGAGGGCGCACTCTACTGTGGGCTTGTACGCCCGTCAGGCAGCCTCTTCCTGTGTCTTGTTTTCTCAGAAACTTGATTGAGAATGAAAGGAGACTTTCCTGAGCGTCATGTTCCTCTGGTAGTGAACAGTCAGCGGGAAGACTAGTTATATCCTATTGGAAAGGGTAATTCTAGCTGTCGTCTCGACCGTGGATTTCAAGTACCGCGGACAAGAGAGGAAGGTGATTTAATTAGGGAGACAGCATCACTGGGACAAAGATGAAGAGCTTCTTGACTGACTGTTCATCAGGCACATGTGATTAAATATGACCGTAGAATTGTGTTTCATCCCAAAAGCTTGATTTTTTTTTCAATCTTGGGGAGAAATGCAGTGTATTCTTGATATTTTAAATTATTGTGTTCAGAGTTGGATACCGTAGGATTTTTTCTTTGACTAGA